TGCATTCTCAGAGCACTTGCTATGCAACAGCTCCTTGTGGACAGAGAAAGTGGGGCATAAGTACCTCCCACCTGGCACACACAGGCTGCCCCCTGAATTTCAGGTGCAATGGGTTTGGTTTGGTTTGGTTAGGCTTGGTTTGGTTTTAGGTGTGCGGGTGTTCTCCTCTGTGTGCCTGTCTGTGTACCCGGCCATGCCTGGTGCTGTCGGAGGCCGGAAAAGGCTGTTGGGATTACCCGTAGAACTGGAGTTCCAGACAGTTGGGAGCTGCCTGTGGGTGCATAGGTTGAATGAAGTAAGTGCTCTTAAAGCTGAGCTCTCGATCCAGCCCCAGTGTTTGGTTTTTATCTGCTTGCCTATTCTTTCTTTGCTCTCTGAAACTCATAAGCCTAGCACAGGGCCAATATTTGCTGAAGACATGGGCCTGTGTTAACAAACACTGCTCCTCCCTGCGAGTCGTACTTATGCTCTGGGAAGCCAGAAAAAATGTATACTTCAGCCTACTCAACACACCTATTCTCATATATATATATATATATATATATATATATATATATATATATATATACTCCCTAGATGAGCCCAAGGTATGGCAAGCCCGCTGCGTTGCTCCACTGTTAACAGCTGCAGCTGGCTATGGCTCCTAACCACCCCTCCAGCTCACCACACTCCATCTCCATGTGGCAAAGCAACATGAGCGTAAGTGAATGTTTACGCAATGCCCTAAGACAGCAGGGACCCCTCTCTCTCTCAAGCACTGAATGTCTGGGAATTCTCAAAGCATCACCTGTAGAACTCCAGACACAACAGCCATCTCCAACCCAGACTCACTGAGTCAGAACCCCCGATGCTACAGCCCTGATGCCAACTTTAAACTTGATCCTTACTGATAAGTGAAAACTTGTAAAATTGTACACATTTATGGAGTACCATGTGACAGCTCACCACTCACATGCACGGTATACAGTTTCATATAGCTTACACTTATGTCCACCTCCTCAAATATCATTTCTTTATGGTGCAAACACTTCCTTTTTGGCTTCCTAAAATACTCAGTCCCTTACCATTACCTATGGTTACCATACACAGTCCCTTACCATTACCAGTGGTTACCTATGGTTACCAGGCAGTCCCTTACCGTTGCCTATGGTTACCATGCACAGTTCCTTACCATTACAACTATGGTTGCATTCTGTGCATCAGCACATTGATCCTCATACTCCCTGCTAACTATGACCATTGATCAGCATCACACTCAACCCCAGCCCATGGGAACCATTATCCACTCCCCACTTCTACAAGGTGGAGTTTTTCAGATTTCACATCTGAGTGACATTACACAGCACTTTTCTTTCTATTCCCAACCTATTGCACTGAAAATAATATCCTCCAGTTCCCTCCACATTATTGTGTATAACATTTTCACTCTTTATGACAACAGTATCCCCGTGTGTATATGTACACAGTATCCCCATGTGTATATGTACACAGTATCCCTGCATGTATATGTAGAATATTCCCATGTGGGTATATGTAGACAGTATCGCCATGTATATATGTAGCACATTCTCTTCCTATATTTATCAGTTGACGGACACCTGGGGTATTTCCATTTCTTGGCTATTGTGACTGCTACAATAATCATGGGAATGCAGATGTTTCTTCAACATACAGATTTCGTTTCCTCTGGATTTATACACAGATGTACAACTGCTGGATGATACTATTTCATTTAAAAATTTTTTACTACAAATGTTCGACATCACTCATCAGGGAAATGTAAATCAAAACCACCTCACTCTGGCAAGAAGAGTTATCATCAAAAAGACAAGAGATCCAAGTGGGGGAAGGGAATCTTAACACACTGTGGGTGAAATGTAAATTAGCACAACCGTCATGGAAAACCACTGTTTTAACAAGGGCTTCAGGGGACTCTCATACAAACCCAGCTGGCCTGCATGAGCCAGCCTCAATCTGGCTGGTAATACCTGTCAGATGAAACAGGGGCCTTTATATCAGTAGGTAGAGCAGAAATAGCACTAATGCGCACTGTTTATGCCACAACTGTTCTGAGGAGCACACACACACCCTCAGGGTCACTGATGCGGCAGCCTTGTCCAAACTCCAACACAGTTGTCCTCTGACTCTGATTCACATGCTGGAAATATCTGTCAGTCTTTCTCACCCACCAGGCACGCTCCTGCTCTCCCGGATTTTAGCACTGACCTACAGCACTCAATAAGCAAGACTGGCCACTTCTTTACTAACCAACGATCGTTCTTGCCATCTCAAGTAACAACCAAACCCATCCCGCTACAATCGCCAACATCCACACAGACAACACTCACCCAATCTACATGGTCCAGAACGGTGGCTTCTGTCCAAGGCAAGTCTACCTGAGCTCAAGTTCCATCATAGTCTATCTTACCTGATACATTAACAGCAAGACAAGAAACATTTATGTCCCTTTCCTTTTCCTGCCTGGCCCTGTCACACGCTGCTTACAGTACGAAGCTGAGCTCTTTGTTTGTTTGCTGGCCCTTACTACCTGTCTAGTCAGGGTAAAGTGACCTGACAGGGCCTTTCTCCTTTATTTTACAAGCTAACATTCCCCTGCCATGCGTTTACCAAATCTGGAGTTAGGGATACAACAAGGAACAGTCCTCTAACATTCATCATTATTTTCTAGAGGTTCATGCTTTCAACAAAAGAAAAAAAAGAGAAAAAGAATCCAAGGCCAGTCTCCTGGCACTATGCCAGGCTATTTTCTTCTTTGTTGAAATAGTCCCTAATATCTTTTAGCTCTGATATTCCAAATAGAAATTTTAAAAAATGGACTCAAACATCTCCTACCCAATGTCATACTCTCAAAAACAATAAAGAAATAATAATAAAAATTGCACAACACTTTACAGTTCTACATGGTAAAACTCAGAATCTATGTCAAGCACCTTTGTGAAGCTTCCTAATTCTCCATTATTTTGTTTTTCTTATATCTTAGAAAGAAACAGTCTTGAGAAATGAATCCTCCCCCAATCCCTATGAAAAAAATCTCAGCAGACACACAACTCAACAATACTCAACGCCCCGCTCTCGAATTTTGATGAATGTATCACCATCTCCACTCATGGAAGCCCAAGGCTGTGGTGCCAAATTATTATGCAGCTCGAGAGTATTTTCCAAGAACAAAAGGAGAAGACATAACTAGCTGGCATGGCAGAATGGACAGGGACTACAATTCCAGCCCCCAGGGTTGTCATTTTTCACTAAGGGGCCCTCAATTATCTCCAGAGACACCAAGGGTCCCTCCCCACCCTGTCCTGCATTCATACACCAAGAATCTCTGTCACTTCTATTCTGGGGATGCAGCTAATATGAACAGCTGTGTCAGACTTAGTATTTTAAAAGGCATGCCAGCACGCACTCAACAGTGTGGCAGCCCATGGATTAAACTTAAACTCCAAAGCCTGAATAGTTATCACATGATTCAAACACTCTGGCCCCAAATCAATGCATACTCAAAAAGAAATGGAAATACCGACAAGGGCTTAGTAGATAGCCGAGGCCTTTCCAAATATTACTTGATTCCTCACTAGCTAGACTTTTTTAAATGCTTTAGCCCATAAAATAGTCTTGACATTGCTGGGCGGTGGTGGCGCATGCCTTTAATCCCAGCACTTGGGAGGCAGAGACAGGTAGATCTCTGAGTTCAAGGCCAGTCTGGTCTAGAAAGTGAATTCCAGGACAGCCAAGGACACACAGAGAAACCTGTCTTGAAAAGAGAGAGAGAGAGAGCGATAGTCTTGACAATAATTAATAATTATAATACCAGATCTGCAAAATGAATAAAAATAATAACAGCATAAAATTTTAGCCCTCCATTTTAGTAGGATATTAACTTTCAAGATGAAATCTAGGATGCGACAATTTCAGCCAAATACAGCTTAACTGGAAACTTTCTGGGATCAACTTGGTTAGGGGTGAAATTACTAAATAAGGAACTATGAGGGCTGTTCCCCTGATATCGCCACTAAGTTGCCAGAGGTCCTGCTCTAGTTTTAATCGGCTTTGTCAAGGTTTTTAAGCGTTGAAACACAGTAGCGCACTTCAGAGTGGACTCACAACATAAACTGTAACAGAGACTCATAATTCCAAGTGGTTAATCAGCTAAACCAGATCTAGATGCATTGCTGGAACTTAAAAATTAAAAACAAAAAACAAAACAAAAAAAATGAAACTTTCTTCAAAACTTTAAAAATCATACTTCCTTTGAAAACCCAAATTGCCAGCTTCCCTTTGAAGAGTCAGCTTTGGCACCGAGCCAACATTCCTTTGCGGCAACCATTAGCAAAAATGGGTAGGGGTGTCCCATTCCAGCGGCAGGAGGCTTTTCTGGCAGCAAACCATGCACACCTCCGAAAATGTATGCACCGACATTCAATCCTTGTCTGCTCTCTGGGCATTTGGACTGGAGTGGACACTGGAATGAGCTACTGCATCTCATCCCTTGATCTGGTCAGCTACAGGGACACCTGACCTCCAACCATGACCCCCGGAGTTTGCTGTACTTGCTGTCCCACACGATCTTCTCTCACTGGTTAACATTACAACTTGGTCGGAGGTTGAACATTTATCCTGAAATGTAGTATTAAGTCAGATGTGTTCTACACAGACACGATTGCACCAGCAGATATGTAGTTCTGACACTAACATGAAGGCCAAAGAGAGTCGACCAGCGCATGTGTTGAATCCACTGGTCAGATGAACACAACTTTTCTCGTGGCCCAAGGGCACCAGTTACTGTTCCTTTGGGTTGACCTGGAAGCACCTGCCTATCCCTCGCCAGCTGTCTGCCGCACGAGGCTTGTTATGGACTGGAAGGGACAGTGAAAACAGGTGTCCAGGGAGGGGACCTAGACATTACTGCAAAGGAGTCCTTTCAGAGGGTCTTGCTTTACACAGGCACGGGACACCGAAACGGGCAGCATTGTGTTCCTTACAAAGCCAACTGTGCCATCTGAAGACGTCTTTTGTCTCGATCTCTAGATTAACACGTTGATAGAGCTGCTCCTCCCCAGAAGTACGATCCCTTGCCTGAGAATACCGACAGTTACAGTTATTTTCAGCTCCTTTGCAATTACTCATCTTCAGGGTTTTGCCTGTCTTCAGCTCCTAATGCCTCCTGCAAGGAAATTTAACAATTGGTCACAGAGGTCTGTGCCCACTAACAGAGATCTTCCAAGCTGCCCCTCAGCAAGCCTGACAACTGAGATTTCACTATCCAGACCACACACCAGCTCTAAGACACAGAGGGCAGCCCTTGTAGAAGGTGCTGTGTTTACTGGAAATGCGCTGAACACAGCCAGTAAGACCTCAGCCTCTCTGATGCCCTGGTGAGGCCCCGTGGGACTACTCCCCTCCCCGACCAGCAACTCCCCAGGGCTGCAATGTTCTGAGCATAGTAGTCACCACGTGGGACAACATCCCCCATGTCTAGCATGCTGACTGTCACACACTTATCAAAGGGATGGCGGAAAAGGAACTGAAGAATCCAAGGACTAGAATGAAGTCATATACAAGATGTGCCCCTCTGAAGACAGCCTGAGATGTTACTAATACTCACAATCCTCTACACTGGCCTCTACTTGCTTATATCCGCAATGCCCACCCACTCTTACTAGACACAACCTACTGTGTGCCCCATGTGATAGACAATGAAACTGACCCGGGCATGGTGGCCAATGCCTTTAATCCCAGCACTCGGAAGACACAGTCAGTCATCTTTATAAGGGAGTTTGAGGCCAGCCTGGTCTACATAGTGAGTTCCAGAATAGTCGAGGCTACATATTGAGACACTGGAGCTCACAGAGATAAGCAGCTTGCCAAGCTCACGATCATACTGTCCGCCAGACTAAGGCCTTCATCACATTGCTGCCACTTGGTCCGTCCTCCCTCAGGAGGGTCCTAAGCAGCAGACATCAGGCCCTATCCCTAAGGAACTTACAGTACCATACAGAATAAGCCGAGTTAAATGCTGCAGGTGTTCCCAGAGCAGATTCTAAGGAGGAGGGATATGGAATAAGCCAAGTTAATTGCTGCAGGTGTACCCAGAGCAGATTCTAGGGGGGAGGGACACACGGCCAGTCACAGTCCCTGAATAACAAGGGCACGGGAGACCCTTAAATCAGAAGGCCCCCTCTACAGCCTGCCTCCAAGAGTCAGAAGAAAGGGGCCAAGAGCCTGGCAAGGCAGAAATGGTGCGACTTGGAAACAGCCATCTTTCTTCTCTGGGCACGTTCCACGGCATTGGCCTCATCACAGGGGAGCTGAACAGGACAAGAGAGGCAGCTCTCTCTAAGAGGAGTCCAAGTGACCAGTCCACCTGGGATGCTCACAACCTGCTGACGTATCACGCATACCTAAAAGGCACGTAACACAGATGTACTGCACATACAAGAGGCCCAATAGGAAAGCAAAGAATATGGAGGCACCTTCAGGAAGGCACAGACCTTAGTTAAACACTGAAAAGGTTTGTAAGACATAAAAGGGCACAGGGGACTTGGGGGCAGGGGAAGAACAGCTTCATTAAAGCAAAGAATTAAGAGAAAGGAAAGCGCACTGTGGGCATGACAGACATCAGCTGGGCATTGCATCCCATCACCACTTACACACACACAGCTCGGGGACATGTTCCTGGTCCCGCTGCAGGGTAAGGCATCCAAGAGCTGCCCTTCACAGGTTGCAGGCCTGACCTTAGGCCAGTGTTTCTCAGAGCGTGCAGTGAGAATGGGTGGAGTAGGTATTCCCCCATGGCCGCCGGGAAGGCCAGAAGGCCGCATTCGGGAAGCACCCAGAGCTACACTTCCAGATCTAGTCTTGCAGCCCTTGCTACACATAAAGTCGTGCATATAGTCATGAGATAGTGTGACAGGACAGACAGAAAGAAGACACCAAAAACTGTCCCATGTCAGGGCCAAGAGTGTACTATGAGTCTTACTCCTTTATACGGTGATTACCAAACCACCCAACTGCATCATGTATTGGGGATTATGTGTTACTTTACTAAATACTCTAAAAATACTCCACCATTTTAGGGCAGGGAGTTGTTTTGGTTTTTTGTTTGTGTGTTTGTTTTTGGTGCTGGGGATCAAACCCAAGGCCTTTTGCATGCTAGGAAAGTACCCAACCGTTAAGCTACACCCTAAGCTCTGCTTCTCATTTTTTTCACTTTTAATCACAGCATGTGCACATGTATACAGGTGCCTATGGAGTCCAGAAGACGATGCTGGATCCCCTGGAGCTGGAGTTACTGGAGGCCTCGAGCTACCAGATGTATGTAAAGGAACCCCAACTCCAGTGCTCTGGAACGGTGGCTCTTAGCCACTAAGTCATCCCTCCAGCCCCGTACACTGTATTTTTATAGCCTTTTAGTAATAAGAAGTACCTGAAATACTTGACCCAGATCTCTGCCTCTGTTGGGGATGGGGATACGGGGGAGGGGGGGCTGTCAAAATGCAGGTTCCTTGGCCCTCATTTCCAGGACTGGCAAGAGCCAGGGAAAACCTGTCTTTTATTTACTATTTATTTATTTTTGTGACAGTCCCAAGTGCTTTTGACACAAATGGTCTCAGCCACACTGCGGAAAGCACTGCAGCAGCAACATGGAAGCTGTGACAATTTAAACGAGGAAGTGACAGGTGAGTACTACACTTTCCCAAGTTTGCCCATGGATTTGTCTGTTAGTGTCAGAGGCAGGGCCCAGGACAATGGCTCTCAGGAGTGAGTAGGAAGTAGGAAAATGAAAAAGGGAAAGTCAATTACTCTCTCCGACCGTGCGAGGGAGGCGGGAAGACTATGAGGAGGTGTGCCAAGCGCTGGCCAGACGGAGCTCTTCCTGAGGAGCAGCTCAGCAGCCACAGTCCTGTGTGGTACCTACGTGTCCCTCCAGATGCACTCCCTGATCTGTCCTGTGCCCCCAGAGCATCACCCCACCCTCTGAAGGAGACCCCGGCAGCAAACCTAAGGATGGGAGGCCGGGAGAGATGCCACCCCCACCTCGGATTCACTCTAGGTTGAGTCCTTCAGCTTGGGACCTCAACTTCTTCCCTCCTCCAAGCGCCCCTGCTCTTCAACCCATGTCCTGGGGCTCGGGCCCTTCCTTCCTCTCCGCCCTTGCATACTGATCTGGGGATCCCATCGTCCCTGCTGCCTACCACGTCTTCCTAAGCACTCCTTTTGTTTGTTTGGTTTTTGAGACGGGGTTTCTCTGTGTAGCTTTATAGACCAGGCTGGCCTCGAACTCACGGAGATCCTGAGTTCGACTGCCTCTGCCTCCTGAGGGCCAGGGTTGCTGGTATGCGCCACCACCACCCAGCTCCTAAGCACTTCTTATTGCCTACTTCAACCTGTCTCCTCTCAGAACCTGAGGGATGCATGCAACAGCACACAGAATGAACATATCAGAAGTTTGATTCCGGGGTTCAAATGAGGAACCAGTCACATTAAATGAGATCAGTGAGGGGCCTGTGTGTAGGTGCTCTAGAGATGGGCTAGGAAGAAGGGTTCCCTTTCTGATCAGCAATGAGCAACTGTGACAGGGATGTGTCATTGGTGACACCGAGAAGTGAGAAGGACGTGGTACCTGTGAGTGAGCACCTCCTGAATCCCAATTCTAACCCTGCACACATCAGCTTTCCCACACGCTAAACAGTGACTAAAGGAGGATTCACTCTGCACACATCTCAACATCACTGAAGGATCTCTCTTCTGAGGCTCACATCTGTGTCTCGTTTTCAAAGAAGTCCTACAAAATTCGATCCTGGCAGAAGCCCAGCTGCTAAACTGGACTGCTAGCAAAAGCTGTGTGGGCTATTCTGAGTAGTTCCAATGGGCCCCACCCAACCTCGTACACAGACGCCAGGGTTATCTGCACCTAGACAGGCATGGCCGTTGGAAGGAACACGATCAAGTCACAAAGATCTCTAAACAGTAAGATGGCAGCGAAAACACGTTTAACTCCAAATTTACAAGTAGGTTTTAATCCTACTTTAATCACGGTGTGGACACAAAACTTGATCAGAGCTTTCCTGGTGCACCTTCGCTAAGGAAGTTCTGAGGATTAAGAATGTGATTCTCCAGGCGGTGGTGGCGCACACCTTTAATCCCAGCACTCAGGAGACAGAGGCAGGAGGATCTCTGTGAGTTCGTGGCCAGCCTGGTCTACAGAGTGAGTTCCAGTTCAGGCTCCAAAGCTACACAGAGAAACCCTGTCTCGAAAAAACACAAAGATTAAATAATTAATCAATTATTTAATTACAAGAATGCAATTCTCAAAATAAGAATATAAAATGCAAGCATTCATAATTAGGGAGAACCTGTGCGTTGAGCCAGGCTGTTATACTGATTATGTGTTTTATAATAATCTACGAGTGCAGAGTGTTTTGTTTATCTGTTCTGACTTTACAGAGGAGGAAATGGGGACTTAAGAAAGCACAGTGGAGCCCATCATGGTGGCACACACCTTTGATCCCAGCACTCAGGAGGCAGAAGTAGGAGGATCTGTGAGTTTGAGACCAGCCTTGTCTACAGATCAAGTTTCAGGACAGCCAGGACTACAGAGACCCTGTCAAAAAGAAAACAAAAAACAAAAACAAAACAAAACAAAAAACCCTAAAACTAGAGAGAGAGAGAGAGAGAGAAATATATATATGCAGGCAAACACAGTAACTACCTAAGAGCAAGCAGTGGGCAGAGCAAGGCCCCCACCCTACTCAGGGAACCCCAAGTCACCGCTACAGGCTGATGCTTTCTGTTAATGAACAAAGCCCAGCAGGGTACAGGGACCCTACATTTAACAGCATTCCCAGGGCACATAGGTGCCTTCTCCTTCAGGTTAAACCTGAGGCAGTTTCAACTTCTTACTCCTGAAACCTCCTCGAATTATTAATTAGTCCACTTTCCTTCCCTGACTTTAGATTTACACCCCTCCACAAAAGTCATGGAAGTAACATTTATATACATTTATATACAGTGACATTTCTAAAACTGAGATTCCAGACCCATGGAGGCCTTCCTTGCTGGAATCTCCCGCCGCCAACGTTCTGTCTCTGTTTCCAGGTCCTTGTGATAGAGACTGACCCTCACAAGTGTAAAACCAGTCAAGCTCTTCAGAGGTGGGCAGAGCAAGACAGGTGAGCTCCACGGGCAGGGCGGAGGAACCCCAGGGCAGCATCCTCTGCTCTGCTTCTTTCTCCGCCCCTACCTAGAAGACCACCTTTCCATTTCCTTCCCCTGTGGGAGAACTCATCAGAGTTCAGCCTTGTCTGTCAGGGGACTTGAAAAGCTAGTCTGAGGCTAACTCTCCTAAAGCGCCACTTCTTTGGTCGTCTGCATGAAGGAAGCGGAGACTTAGGAGAAAAAGTCAATCAAAAAACTGACCAAAACAGAGCGAAGATTCCACAAACCTTCCCACTTCCCACACGAGTGCTTCTGTGCACACACATACGCATACATACATTCACATATAAACACACACATGTGCACATACACACACACATATACATACATGTACACATACGTTCCCACACACACACACATATGTGTGTGCAGGCACACATGTGGGCACGTACACATACACACACTTTTCCTATCCCAACCATGATCACCACACACAAACATCTGGAACTTTAGATGGGTCTTTCTTACTCTCACTGCCAAGAGGTTCAGTTCTAAAACAAGGATGCACTCAAAGTAGTTCTCCCACGTTAAAGCGACAAAACACACTGGTGTTTTGTGCGAACACTAATAGCACACACATGGGCCAATCAATGTGCATGTGAACTAAACGGTTCAGGTGCCGATTCTGACTTCCTGAGGTGAGGATTCTATTGAAGGATGCAGAATACACGGAAAAGTTTCACCGCCTCTCAAGCGTTGGACGCTGTGACTCCACTGGACTTTGCGAAACTTGATTAACTCCTAACAGCTCTTCCCATCCATCTTCCTCCTCCTCCCTTCAAACCTTCCAAAACACCATGAGTTTCCACCTCTCGTCTTCTCCCTGTCCCAAGAACTGCTCATATGATTTATAAAACAGTGACTCCTGTGTCGAGAGGGCTGCTCAACTAACCTTCTGCCTAGAGCACTCTGCTGGCTACTTACCCCAGTTTCATAGTAGTAATTACAGCATCATGGGAAGTAAAGAGGGAGAAAAGAAAGGGAGAGTAAGAGCAGAAGTAACAGACGTTAGAAGACGTTGAAATATATATACATAAAAGTTGGTCACCTGGGACATTATTCTTAGGCTCATTTTGGTACTTGCTGTGGAGTCTAAAACCCCACATCAGCAACTTATAAGGAACATGAACCCCGTGATAAGAAGACACCTGATATCTCCTGGGTCTCACACAGTTGCTCCTTTTCTGTGGCACGGCCAGTCCTCAAAATGGTTCATCCTCAAACCCCACTCTCCATGAATCCCTTTAATCAGATCTCCAAAATTGCTCTAAAAATATAGTCACGTGGAAAGTAGGGCCTAGAGCGCGAGGAACACCAGAGGCCAGGTACTTCCTATCTTAAAGAATCTTGTAACTTCCCAGAACTCCATTATCTCACCCTTTAATATCAATTTAAGGGCCACTGAACACCACTTCAGCTACCTCAAGGTCATTCCAGAATTCTTGGTAAAGATAAAGATTCAGGAGCCTAAGGCAAGTTTTTCTGCTCCTTTGTCTTTGTCTGACAACACAAAACCTCCTCCTGCTACCTCAGCAGCAAGGGGCACACTCAGGTTCTAAGTGTACCAAGTCAACACAAGAGTAAAAGGCTCACATTTTATTACTTCCTAAAACAATTGCTTTTATCATTTCCTAAATTTTCCAAACACTGTTAATTGGCACACACCAAATGAACACACTAGCGACTAATAATTTTTTTAACTTCCAGACTTTTCCTCCCTCCATTGAATTACAACTTGGATTCAACTATCCACATGTTATAAAACCTTTCTGGTTGGCTTAATTTTAAAATGTCTGTCTAACTTCATCATGTGAGGTCTTAATTACTCCAAGAGCTCTGATAATATCTTTTGTTTTGTTTTTTGAGGCAGGGTTTCACTGTGTAGCCCTAGCTGTCCTGGAACTACTTCTGTAGACCAGGCTGGCCTGAAACTCACAGAGATCTCACAGAGATCTTCCTGCCTCTGCCTCCTGAGTGCTGGGATTAAAGGCATGAGCCATGACTTAAGAGTCAATTCTTTGGTATTTCACAGGAATAACTGTGGCTGTGAAAAGTACAAATTGTGTTGTATTAACCTAATAAGTCTTAAGACTTACCACACAGCCGATAACTGTATACAAATGGCCATATAAACTCAGGTTTCTACAAATTCAAGAGTTCCCCAGAGGATAAAGATTGTCTGAGGTGCCCAGTCCAAGTCACACTGTGAATTCAAGTCACCTTCCCTTGATCCTCCCACATACTTTATCTCCACAAAGAACGTTCTCTTGATTGCTGAGATGTTTAAAGGAGCTTATTAATATTAGATTACATCTTAAAGTTATGATCCTTTACATAAATCTAAAAGTATTAGCATGGCTGGGCTACGGCAGAGAGAGTACACAACTATCTGTCTCCCTAAAAGAATGAAAAGGTAGAAGTCTCTCTCTCTCGCTTCTCATTAGCAAGAGAAATTTTTCAACCAATCCTGCCCTTTGCGGGTAGGCTGGCAACAATCTATTTAAGTCAGAGATTATACACATACAAAGGTCATGTGTCACAATTCCATTTACACAACTGTGAGACTCCCTCCATAGGACGGAGAATATCCAAAGCTTTCGGTTCTGATCACCTTAATAAACAAGGACTAACCCTGTGAATTAAAGAAGCATGTCACTTGGGACACTCTAGTAGCCCATTAGCATGCTACGCATCACAACAGCTGTTCAAGCTATGTGGACCAGAGGTATTTCACTATTGATCGAAAGTTGTGAGTGAAATGAAGGAAAGAATTCAGATCTGAACTCCGGGCAGAACTGTCAATCCTCCTTCGACATAACTCAGTGTATTTTATTTTAACGGTGAAGCACAGAGCGGTGAGCACTGTGTTGAGCTCAGATGTCACCTCCAGCTTAAGTCCAGAGAGGGAGGAATTCTGCATTCTAAAAGAAATCTTTAAGACATCGATGGCAGTCAGTCAAGCTGAGGACAGTGCAAACACCTCCAGATAAGAAATAATGTTAAGCAAGATTTCCAAAGCAATTACCTCCAGCCCTGGGGCTAGACCAACTATCTAACCCTACCCCACCAACAACTTTCCAGGTCTCTCTCAGGACATACTTTGCTCAATAAAAAATGGCGCTGCTTTCTCCATCCCAACACTGTTTATTCCTCAGTAATCCTGAGGCCCTTTAAACAACCAAATTCTACTGGCCTCATTTAAATGCCAGCCTTCCCCAGTGTCAAATGCTTCTCTGAGGGTAGGGTGAGGGGACAGGATGGCTGCTCCTATCCACAGCTGCAACTTTTTCACCACAAACCTTGGCATCATGAACTCACTTTGACTTCTCTTCATAACCTGCCTTCCCCCAAACTGTTGCCTCGCAGTCTCTCGAGTCACACTTAAATGCAAACTGTTCCCAAGTGCAGGACTCTTAAGCACCATCCATCCACGCCGTATCCTAGGCACGTTGCACCCTGACCACGCTCAGCCTCCCGGCCACGCCGCAGCCGTCCCCGTGTCCACCGTCCCCGGGACTCCGGGGTCCGGCGCCCGGTGCCCGGACAGCAACAGCATGCACACGCGCACGTCTGTCTAGCCCTCCCCGGCGGGCTGTCGCCGAGCCTCCGCCCGCGCCCACCCCCGCCCGGGCAGCAATGGGGGGCTGGGTGGGCACCAAGGCACCAGCCAGAGCGACAGGCGAGGGGACAAGGCCAGCTGCGCGCCCCCGCCCCTCCCGGAGCCGGGCACACAGCGGCCCCGTTCCCCGGCCCCAGCCCCCACCCCGCTCCCGCCCGGGTGGCACCACGGCCGGCAGGGGCGGCCAGGGCACGACGCCCCAGACGCCAGTACCTGATCGATGGGCAGCTGCACGGCGTTGCTGAGAGGCTGCAGCAGGGTGGAGCCCGTGGTGCTGGTGGTGGCCATGGCCGGGCCTCGGCGCTGCGCCCGCCCGCCCGCTCCGGCCGGCTGCCGCTCGCCCTGTGCCGAGCTATGCCGAGGATGGGGATGCAGCGGCGCGCCCGCCCCTCGGCCGCCCGCGGTCGGAGCAGCCGCGCGGGGAGGGGCCGTGGGCGGAGCCTCGCGACCCCGCCCACCGCGCGGCGCCCCGCCCACTCGCCCGCCGGCCCCCGCGGCCCCCTTACGCCGCCCGGCCGCCCGATTTCCAGCAGCTTCCAGCGCCCCCTCCCCACCGCGCGCGCCCGACAGCCCCGCGGCCCAATGGCGGCGCGGCGCCTCGATTCCCGCAGCCAATCAGAGGACGCCTGCCTCGCCGCGCCCCTCCTCCGTGCCGAGGACTCGGGCGAGGGTGGGGGGAATGAGGCTCGATCCCGACCGCCGCCCGTCGCCCGTCGCCCGAGGGAGGGCGAGCGAGAGTCGTGCTCGCCGGCGGGGGCGTGTGAGGGCGACTTTGCCTCCGCCTCTGCTCGCTTCCTCTCTCAGGAATGGTGGGCGCCGTCCCACCCCTCCTTGGCTGAGACGGCGGACAACAAAGGGGCTCGGGGTGGCGGCCAGACAAAGAGGGGGGACTTGGAAGGGACTCAGCGCCGGAGGAAGTTGGGGGACAAAGCTAGGGGGCTGCAGGGCAACGCACCACGAGGACCCCCAAACACAAAGTGCCTTTGTCTCCCATGCTGCCCACAGTTGGGGAATCCGGGCGGTCCTGCCTCACCCGCGCCCACCTGGGCCTCACGGGCCGTGCTGGCACGACGCTCGCTCGCACGGCGCATCCAGCTCAGAGGGACACAGGTCGAACCTGGGCAGCGTCCGCCCGAGGGAAAGCCTGGGTAGCCAGCGGCCAGCGGTAGAGGCCCCGCCTTCTAGAGGAAAGGCCGCTGCTGGTAAGCATCCCTTCTGGCCCGACGAGCATCTGTCTCTGCCCAGATGCGAATTCTGCCGCGTCCACACACCTTCCCTCTCCGTGTGGCATTTTCCCCACAAAAATGTGATTCTTAACCCTTTTAACGAAAGCAAGCCGTGTGGACACCTGGAAAATACCAACCTCGTCCTCTCAAAAATCCAAGGATTCGGAAGTGGGAGGTCTAAATAAATGTTTAAAGGAGCGGGCTTTAAACGTGGCTGCAAACGCTGCTTTAAAAGATAGACTTGAGTCTCCACAGCAGCCGTGTGAGGTAGATATTGTAGCCACCCTCAATCTAACAAGGAAATTTAATTTCAGAAAAAAATTACATAACTCGACCAAGAGCTAAACAGCCGTGTGTGGTCGTGGCCGGGGGGGGGGGTGCAATCCAAATATTTTAGCCTCAGTTCTGACCTCTTAAACATAAGGCCCTTCACCCTCTGTCTTAACAGCCACTCCAGAATAGCCATCAACTACAGGTACACCGCTTCCTCGAGGACCGCTCTGCAGTCTTCAGTAGTGAGAGCACAAACAGTGCTTCAGGGAGACTGGCTGTGGGCTGGGCTGTCTCTGAAAATTAGTCAGGGCAGCCCCCTTTGCCTAGCGCTCTCTGGGTGGGTTTTTTTAGTCCATGACAGAGAGGGTGGAAAGAAAGAAATTCAAATGACATCCTTCATTCTTGATGTAGCGTTGCAACTCGCTGGGACCCATTAAAGGCAATCCTGTTCAATAATGCCAAAATAGCCCCCAAATCTGGACCCGTCTATTAATACAACCTTAGAGGGAGGACCACTTCCCCACCCCCTCTTTTCTCCACTTTGGGGATGTGTAGGGGAACTGTACAGGTGGCCTGACATACAAACTGAAGGAAGACATTAAAATACCGCTCTGAAGGCTTGAAAAGTGGGCGTTAGAAACATATTGCCACCTAAAGTAGGCAGCATACAGATACAAGCCTAGAACAAATACTGTCTACCAAAGCAATTGTGTCAGGATGATTTTTTTTTCAGAACAAGACAGAGCATAATTTCTATTGGGGGGGTGACTCCTTTAAAAAGAGGTTTGGCTGAGGGGACCTTCCTGTCAGCCTCTTGCCCCAAAGGAAGCAGACAAAAGCGATGGTGAAAAGTTAGGAAAACATTTTAATCAAAATGGCCACTTGGGAATGATGGAAGTTAAGCATCGCAGCCCATCTTTGGGGTAGTGGTGTACACTTTAAATAAAGGGAAGATTAGGGTAAGGGGCATGAAGTATGAATAATTAAGCACACCCATGGTCTCCTTGACTGTTACCTCACTTCTGGTTCTACAGAAATGGCCCTAGATAAGTTGCTTGGTGGGACAATCGGGTTTGGTTTGCTAGACTCTGTGTTCTGGAGTCGACAATGCCTGCAGGATTAAGACGTGCCTGGAGACACGTGGGCACTTTTGGGGAGGTCTGGAACAAGATACTGTGGAAGCTGGCAATTAGTCGTGCCTTCAGCCTTGAAAGAGGATACAATAAGTATTACCAGTTTTTAGATGTTCTTTAGATCAGTAACAAGCCAGCCGCACCAGTATTTATGGAACTGATAAGATGGATGCCCCCTACTTAAGTAGATTTTCCTTCCCCTACCTTTTATTTCTTTCCAGCCAAGTCATGGTGCCCACTCACACTGAATAAGGCAATTTTCTTTACAAGGTCTACTAATTCAAATACTACAGACATATCCAGAAATACAGTTTTATTATCTGTCTAGTCCTCCATTAACCCAATCAAGTTGTATGTTAAATTAGCTATTCAGGGAGTTGAGTGTAATTCTAAAAATGAAAAAGGTTTTTCTCTTAGGAAAGTATCACATCTGGATTTAATGGATTTTCAGTATATAGATATATTAAGACATCATGTGGTATACTGTAAATAAAGACACTTTGTCAACTCCACCTTAAATTTTCAAGTACTCCATCTTTATGTTTCTAATAAAGAAACTGAGATCATCCACATTTTTGAGCTAACTCAGTGATCAGAGTATAAATTGGCCAATATCTGCTAATTAAACTAGGAGCCTTTAAATAAGAAACAACTTATATACAATTCTTCACTGTCCTACCTAAAATAACCAAGCTATGACAGCCTAACTCTTTTTTTTTTTTTTTTTTTTTTTTGGTTTTTACGAGACAGGGTTTCTCTGTATTGTTTAGGAGGCTATCGGTCCAGCCCGGCCTCGAACTCACAGAGATCTGCCTGCCTCTGCCTCCCGAGTGCTGGGATTAAAGGCATGCGCCACCACCGCCCGGCTGACAGCCTAACTCTTTAAAAAATTATTGAATATTTACTATGTTCAAAGAACTGTGTGAATGCTGTAAAAAAAGAATGGTACTTAGCCGGGCGTTGGTGGCGCACGCCTTTAATCCCAGCACTCGGGAGGCAGAGGCAGGGGGATCTCTGTGAGTTCGAGACCAGCCTGGACTACCAAGTGAGTTCCAGGACAGCCTCCAAAGCCACAGAGAAACCCTGTCTCGAAAAACCAAAAAAAAAAAAAAAAAAAAGAATGGTACTTAAAATCAAAAGACAAAATCGTCATGTACATGAGACAGTAAAGTAATCCAAAGGACAACATAAAGTCAGTCTTTGATGGAAGAAAAAAAAAAAAGACAGTAGTCCTCCAGAGAACACAGACCTTGTTTGGTAGTCAAAAGACCTGATTTTTTTTTTTCCCAGTATTGCACCCAAAAGCTGTAGACCTATGTATGCCCGGAGTTTCCCATTGTTAAGTGTGGATAATGATAACATTCCTACTTCTCAAAAGTGAAGAGTAACGGTGAGCTTGAAATTACTAATGAACTGGATTTTAAAGATATTAGTAATATTTGTACTATTAAAATACTACTACTACTAACAAGTGGTAAAGAATTTTTAACATAGAAATCTCATTGTTAACATCACCATAGCATCATTAACATCATTACTAGCCAAAGCCTAAGAGTGCTGAGCAGTGTTTGTGGGTGACAAGTGACAAGATAGCAGTGTTCTTGGCTCCCTCACCCTTGCCTCTGGAAATGGCTATGATAATTAAAGATTGCTACAATAAAATGTTCCCTTTCAACTTATTTTTAACTTTGAATAAACCATTCAGAAGAAATGAATAATCTGCCAAGATGCTTTTGTTGTGTAAAAAAAAATGGTGTGTGTCGTGAAATTAGAGCTCTTGGGCAATTATTTCGCCTATTTTATACTCCTTATATCCTGGAATCACCTCAGAGAGGAAGGCCATTGAACTACAAACACAGTAAGGCCTGCTAACTGGCTGGCACCCTGTAGTACTCACAAGGTAAGCTTAACCTGGGGAGGTCAACCACTAAGACCTAATGTGCTCTAATTGGGAGATAACAAGGGAGGCTGAAGAAGAGGTGGCCGCTGCAGGAAAGGTCCTGGCTCTCCAGAATCTGCCACTTAGGAGGTCGCTAACAAAGAACACTCAGTTTTACTGCCTCTATACTGAACAAATTGGATGAGTTCAGTGGTCTTCTCCTCTATAGTTGTATGATTCCTATGAACTTCTAGGGCTTTCTCTGTCTCCATGAATCTGACATTAAACCTAGATTTGACATTGTATTGAATTAATGATCAGTATTCAGCCCTTATAAAGGATACAAACAAAACTATTTTTTCCCCTTGAGGAATAGCAGAGCTTTGCGGTTGGTTGCTCTGTAGGTTTCAGAGCTACTTCTAATTTACTGTTTCTCCAGTCAACCTTGCTTCTCTGTATTCTTCGGTGACCTGTAAAAAAATACATACTTGGAATCTTTGTATCTTAGGAGAGTCGTCTGTTTTCCTTTTATTTGGCTTTTTTTTTTAAGCTCCTGGGCTTTCCACTTCTATGTCAATGAGTTAAATCTGTTTTTAAGATGATCCCCCTGTCTGCCCAGAGGTGTGGCTCACACCTGTAATCCCCACACTTGGGGGCTTCAGCAGGAGGATTGCTATGAGTTAGAGGCCAGTCTGAGCTATGCGGTGAGTTCCAGGACAACATGTGCTATGGTGCGAGACTCTGTCTCAAAAAAAGGGGAAAATTAACCAACCAAACCCTGTTTATGTTTCTTGATGTAAAAATGCAGTCTGTAACCCCTGACCTTTAGGTACTGAAACATTTCTGTTTCCATGGGTTCACATAATGATACTTGCATTTGAATTATGAAACATCCTAAGTATAAAACATTAAAGTCACCCCAGGTTGCGTCATAATCAGCGTCCCTTCCCACCTGCAGCATTTATTGCATTAGCCAGGATAAGACTGTCTTGTTTTCCCTAGTTCTGCCTAATGTTTCTGTTTATTTCTTTTATTTGGGATTTTAAGAAGTCCCCCTCCTGAAATGTATCGGCGTATCACTGCTGTGCTAAACAGTGTGGCCTGTCCACTAAGAGAAGAGTCCGCTAACTACCCCTCTGTCTGTTGCAAGACGTCATGTCTGTAATATCCTCAGAAGCCTGCCTCCCTTTCTGTAGGGAAACCTGTCTGACAGCACATCCTCCTATAGGTATCTCCAACCCTTATTTTGCTGTCATTGGGTTTAGATCCTTGGCTTACAACACCAACACCAGAGTCCTTCGCAATGAAGAATTGGGGACAAGAACCATCTCTCCTGATGAGGTCTATGATTACATATCTAACCCAGTTCTCTTGCCGAGGACTTGCTCCCCAGGATAGGTGACTCTTCAGTACATGAGGTTCCTGCTGAGGAAGGCCTTATAATCAGATAAGGCCAGGTTTCAATTTCATCAAATTATCTTTTAATTTATTTTCCATTTGAAAGCAGATATTTCTTGCTGTTTGGGGTGTGTGAATTCTGATCTAGGCCTAAAACCCTGTATATCACAAGGCAGTGTTAAAACCACAAAACACTATTCTTAAAAACATGAAAAAATAAAATGTCAAATGTTCCCAAGGACACTTAAACCCATGTTACTATTAAATTTACAGTAAGTAGTTGCTTCTTCCAAAATAATCATGGCTCAGGTAGATACAAATGTCAAAGGAGGACCATTCGTTAGAGTTTCCATTTGAAATTCTGTCTCTAACTTGTTGAGATGCTGGAGAATAGCATCATACAAGCCCCACCAGGTGAGGGAGTTGAGTGCGGGGACCACACTGCCGGAGCTGGAAGCCTCCTGTACTCATTTGATTTTGTGTAGACTGATTCCTTGGCTCTCAAGGATCTCTCTAAAATGGGAATCTGATTTGTATAATTCAAATAACTTAATTCACTTAAGGGTTGTCACATTTTCAACTTGGGGTAATTACTGCCATATTTCACCATCATCATTATAGAATTTGTGAACCTGGCAGTCTATATCAAGTTTATCAATGGTGCCAGATGCCAGGTAAGGGTGCAAGCCAACAATACCTCATTTGCTTCAGTTAGTTAATCCCTCTTAAAATGTTGGGGGGGGCTTTATTTACAAAGAACTTATTCAATGGCAATACAGTCCTGGTCTACCTCAACTGAAAATACTAGTAAAAATTTATGTTTAAAAAAAAAAAAACACCAGGCGTTAGTGGTGCACGCCTTTAATTCCAGCACTCGGGAAGCAGAGGCAGGCAGATCTCTGTGAGTTCAAAGCCAGCCTGGTCTACGTATAAGTTCCAGAACAGTGAGATCCTGTCTCAAAAAAAAAAATGGAAATGACAGACGGTAAATTATATAAAAATCTCATAGGTAAGAACTAAGAAAATGATATATAATTTAGAATACCATTTTGAGACATTTGAATTATTTTGATGATTTTGAAAATCCCAGGTATATTAGATACTATCCCTATAATACAGTGTTAATATAAATACTGCCTCTACAGATATTTATCTTTTTTTTATTTTAGTTAGCGTCCAGTCAGTAAACTAATGAAATGCTTCTGTTATTCTAGGATAGGAGCCAGAAACTTAGTCTTATTACATAAAATGACTCATTCCTCATGTAAAATGTAGTCAGCTACTGGTCTCTAGATACTTCTGTGGGAGCACTTAAACATGTTCCCTTTGGAGCTGCTTAAGTGTCACCAGAAGGTAAATTAGAAGACAAAATCAACTCAAGTATGTCTGGTACAACCCAAGAAGGCGATGCGTCTCAGTAGTGCCTTCAGATCCAACTCTATCAGAACAAGGGAGATTCCTGGAGGAAAATGAAAACAGGACTAGAATTTCTAGGCTGGGCCATTACCAGTGTTTGCCGGCCGTACCTAAGCACTCACTGCTACCCGAGGAGGTCGCTGGGTGGGCCTTGGCACCTGCAGACTGCTGTTGCTGAAGCTGGGTGGTGAATTACATTGCTGTTTTGGTGGCAGATGACTGTTAGAAGGAGAGGGGGTGTGGGGACATGCCCATCCATAGCATCTGCCAGAGCTAGGTCTAGAATTCTAAACAGAAACCATTTTTCACTGAAATCTTTGAATGCATTGTTTCATTTTCTTATAAATTCCAGTCGCTGTTAAGGAATGCCACCTTAGCTGGGCCTGGTAGCCTGTTTGAGAGACTGAGGCAGAATTATGAGACCAGCCTGGGCTACACAGGAAACACAAGACAAATATGCTAGCTACAGTGTGGGAGTCCTGGAGCCTCCGGGGCAAAGGACTGCCGTGCTGTCTTCCCGCCGCTGAGAGCGCCTGCCCTCTGCCTCCAGTGTAGCCACTGTAACAATGACTTCCATCATCGTATCTTCTGTGAAGAGGCTGGCTGCGGGACTGGAGAGATGTCTCAGTGGTTAAGAGCACTGCCTACTCTTCCGGAAGACCAAGGTTTGATTCCCAGCACCCACATGGTGGTTCACAACCATCAGATGCCCTTGTCAAGCCCCATGAGGCACTGTGTGCACTTGGTGCATAGACATATATGCAGATGAAACACCCATACACACACACACAAATAAATAAATAAATAAGTAAATAAAGAGGCCAGTTGCTGCATGTACCAGTGGAGGCTCTTTCAGGTCATTGCTGTGGAAACCAAGCTGATAAGTGACAACATCAGGTACTGCTTGGGTGTCAGCTGCTGAGCCTGAATAACAACAGAAGATGTGGTCGGTCACCCTGCCAACCATGCAACTGGTGATGTAGACCCAGTGGCTATCCTGGAGATCCTCTGCAGCACCTACCCCCAACCACACCCTACCAAACTGCACAGCTGTGACAAAGATCTCCAGTTAGACTTTCCAGTTTTCCCAGTCTGAGCCTTCTCCACCCCTAGGCCTGTTCCGCCAGCAACTGCCTCCTCCAGAGCCACCACAAAGCAGCTTGCAGAATCCTTGGTTGTACCATGTTGGGATTCCTGAATTGTTATTTACTTTCTGTCTCCATTTTCCATCTCTTCACAATGACTTTCTCAACACCTTACAACCCACTCTTAATTTACAATTTTTCTTCGAATATTTTCATTACATTGTAGAATATATATATATATATATATATATATATATTCATCTCCACAACTGAAGATTTAAGTGTAAGTAAACTTAAATGCATTTCACACACTAAAGTTCATTTCATGAGAAAGAAATTATATAATAAAACAACCAAGTGAGGTCATTGCTTAGAACTTGCCTCAATGTATGTGGGGAGCCACACCCATCAGCTAGCTCATTGCTTGCTATGTTCACATATTACCTAGATAAAACACTTACGAAATGTAAGTGAAAGCATTAGGAAATACGGGATCCACCTGGGGATCCCGATGTTCATAGTATCAATGCCAACCTCATAACAGCATCATTATTGTAACTAAATATTAAATATTCCCAAGGGAGGGAGTGATTGTTATAGCCTGCTGAACAGGCTTTTCTGAAATAGTGAATCTCATTATAATTGCAAGGACTCTGTCATAAATGACACTAAAGACATGTGTAATACAGAATCCCAGAGAAACATCACTATGAGTCACTTACATAAAAGCCCCTCTTTGAAGGATGTCTTAATTGAATGCCTGTTAAACAGCTTTGTAAATCATAAGTCATAATGCCGAATCAAAGAATATGTATTCGTTTGGTTAACCTCTCTCATGTCTCCAAATGTATAAGTCTCCCTCTTTTCTGATATCTTCTTCGTTTTGAGGAAACTGGGTCCTTGACTCTGTCTTTGGCCATTTGCGTCCCTTTGGTAGTACTTTGTCAAGTACCTCTTGTCAAGGTTCCTTTGGTATTACTTTGTCAAGTACCTCTTGTCAAGGTTCCTTTGGTATTACTTTGTCAAGTACCTCTTGTCAAGGTTCCTTTGGTAGTACTTTGTCAAGTACCTCTTGTCAAGGTTCCTTTAGTAGTACTTTGTCAAGTACCTTTTGTCAAGGTTCCTTTGGTAGTACTTTGTCAAGTACCTTTTGTCAAGGTTTCCTACTACATTCCTTTAATTTGTCATTACTTCTAGAGTCTATATCAAAACAAGAGTCTTACACACATAATGCTCTTTATGCTGTATCATCAGAAATGTAATTGGTGGATGTTTGGGTTTTTGTGGCGCTGAGACAGGTCATCAGTGCCCTGATCCTTCATGGTGGTCCCCCATTGCCTTTAAAGAAATGGTGTCACCACTGTGACAATTTTTATGCTATGCTTTGATTGTTTGGTGATACCACATGTGTAGTTTTTTTTCATATTCCCCAATTAAAAGCTAAACTTTGCCCATAATAAATGTATGCTGGGCCGGGTGGTGGCGGCGCACGGCTTTAATCCCAGCACTCGGGAGGCAGAGGCAGGCGGATCTCTGTGAGTTCGAGGCTGGTCTGGACCGACAGCCTCCAAAACAATACAGAGAAACCCTGTCACGTAAAAACCAAAAAATAAATAAATAAATAAAAATAAATGTATGCTGTGTGCTGCATAGTGCTTCAGGACCAGACCATATTCATGGTAGCGTTCCCATAAGATTGCACTGCAGTTGGACCAGAAATGCATAGTTAGAAGAGGCAAAAGGAAAAGATACTAGAAGAGAAAAAGGAACATCCAAGGAAATCAGGCAGAGCTGGTGGCACAGATCTGAACCCCAACTACTTGGGAATCACAAGTTCAAGGCCAGCATGGACAGTTTAGTAAGACTCCGCCTCAAAAAGAGAAGGGAGAGAAAGAAGGAGGAGGACAATGACAAAGAAGGAGAAGGAGCTCAGAAGTAGGGTGCAGGCTTACCTAGCATGCGTACGCCCCAGGGTTAAACCCGCAGTACTAGAAAAAAAGAAAGGAAATTCCTAGAGAAGGGCATAGCCAAAGTTTTACCGACCTCAGCATAGAACTTAAGAAGACTGAAAATATGAACTACAGACACGAAAGATCATCCTTAATAGATAGGAGTGTTCATAACATGATCTCTTCTGACAAACAAGGGCATTTGTGGGCACTCTGAAGAGTGTCACTCCCTCAAAGATAGCCCAGGCAGGCCTTTGAAATGTCCAGAAGAAGGCATTACCTCAGCACAGGTGGGTAACGGTTACATGTGAATTCCTGCCTCTCAAAGCCCTTTATGGGTATAAAATAGAGTGGAAAGCTGTTGCAAACAGTGATCCTAGCCCTGTGCAAGCTTAGTTTCCTGTGTGTTTGTGTAAGTGTGAAAATAATAATTATATATTGTGTATAATAATTACATATCGTATAGAATTAAAATGTGTGTATGAAGCTGTGTTATTATGGAAGAGTCCAGGTTTAAAAAGCAGAAGAGTTAGTCAGCCAGAGCTACTTTGCTATTGAAGACAGAAAGCTGCTTTCTATAAATTTCATGTGGGACACGTGTGCAATGCTTGTAAAGTCCACAGTTGTCCTGCTCAGGCCTTCCCTGTCCACTCACCGCAAACTGACACACCTGGAGGGGCTTCTAGGTCTGCAAGTTCCATTCACATGGAGTGTCCTACATAGGTCAACTCTCTTCTTGTCTTTTATAGTGTGTTGAGAGAGAGAGAGAGAGAGAGAGAGAGAGAGAGAGAGAGAGAGAGAGAGAGAAAGAGAAAGAGAGTGTGTGTGTGTGTGTCGTATGTACCTGTTAATACATGTGTGTGCATGTACAGGCCAAAGGTTGACATTGGGTTTCTTCTTTGAGTACTGTGCCCTGTTTTGACACAAGTACTCTCACTGAACCTGGCACTCACCAATTGGTGTGTAAAAAGCTTGCAGCCAAGGAGCAGTGTGCTATCTCATGCAGCCTGGATATGTAGACTATTCCATGGGGGGTGAATGTAAATTTCCACTGTGAAATTTGCACAACATGCACCCCACAGAGCATACTCTTGCTGCTCAGATGCAAAACTATATCCATAACACAGTGCGAGTGACAGAATAAAGCCCTTCCTCTCTGTTTACTCGGCATTTAAATGACAAACCTCCAGTAAGACACTCTTGGAGGGAATATCCCCACTTTCCTCAGGTGTGGAAATCATGCTAACTAATTTCCAAGTTATCTTCGCACTCTGAAGCCCTGTGGTTGTCAGGACTGCAGACCATCCTAGGCGTGGGAGTGGCTTCATAATATCACCTGGCTCTTGCCCCTGTACATGGTTCTGCCCACTTCCCTGTCTAATAGCTTCTAGGGTAGGAACTTAGGGTGGTTGTGTGTGTGTGTTCCACAAAGACAGTTTGGAACTGTGGCTGCAGAAGCCACAGTGACAGCCCAGCAGCTCTGAACAGGAAAAGACACAGCTAACTGGCCAAGGATACGTAGCTCCAGGGGTTAACTAGGCCAGCAGCTTTGTTTTGTGAAATGATATTTGGTATGCAAGTCAATTAGGCCTTAGGAGGGTTCTCTTTTAAAGAAAAACAATCCCTAGTGTACTAACTTGGACAGAAATTTATTAGCTAATTCTGATTTTTTTTTTGGCAGTAACTACAGCACTATTACCATCTTTCGATGTCAAAACTTTTTGTTAGTGACAATCACTTTATTTCAAAGCCCATAAGAGCATTCTTCCCACCAGCCTGGCCCCAGAGCCGTCTCAACCCCAAATAACACACAGAGACTCTATTAGTTACAATACTGTTGGCCAATGTTCAGGGCTTCTCATTGGCTAGTTCTGTCTTAAGTATTAACCCATAACTACTAATATGTATATATTTCTATAAGGTCTTATCTTACTGAGGACACCAGCCTCATGCAATCTCTCTTCCCAGGATCACATGGCGATTCTCTACGCTTGACTACATTTCCCAGACTCCTCCTCAATCCCTAGTCCCACCTATCTTGCTTCCCTACTGGCCAACTGTGCTTCATTTATCAACCAATAAGACAAACATATACACAAAAGGACTTTCCCCTTCAAAAGCCTATTGCTATTTTGACCTGTATCTATCTTACAGGTCATATGTATTTAGATACGTGTGTGTGTGTGTGTGTGTGTGTGTGTGTGTGTGTATCACAAGTGTGGATGGGTGTATATTTGTATGTGCACACACTCTTTTGTATAGAGGCTGGAGGACAACTTCAGGTGTGGTTCCCTGGACACCATTCACTTCTATTTTAGAATGGACCTAAAATTCAACATGTAGGCTGGTTAGTCAGTAAAGCCCCAGGGAAACCTCCTGTCTCGCCTTCCCCAGCTTAGGGATTGTAAGGATATATTGCTGTGCCTAGCTTTTTCCACATGAGTTCTAGGGCTCAAACTCAGGTCCACACATTTGAGGGAAAATCACTTTACTGACTTTAATGACTGAGCCATCTCCCAGCCCCTGGCCTATATTTTTAAGAATGTGAACAAAGCATTTTATTTACCTCATTTGTATATGATTTACAACATAAATACACTGACAGTAAATATCAGGTCACTTGCAGTAACTTAATAATGCACACAGGCCCAAGAATGGAAGTCATGACTCACTATTAAAAGAATGATAGATAGATTGATTGCTAGATAGATGATAGATTGATAGGTACATAGATTGATAGATAGATGATAGACTGATAGGTAC